TATTTATTTATTTATTTAGCACCCAACTGGCAGCCAAGGCCACTCTGGGTAGCTTTTATTCAGTTAAGCCAGCATCAGCAGCCTACAACACAGCCCACAATTACTTTAACAGCAGTTTCCTCTATCCTTTAAGAATCATCATCTTTGGTAAATTGCATATTTTAATATTTAACTTGTTTATCGTATGTTTTGAACTAGTATGGTGCTAGATTAATGCATTGGTAATATAGAAACTGTTAGGAAAAAAGGAAGAGTTCGGACTGCAGGGTGTCCTGCAATCTAAAACCCATTGTTCCTGACAAACCTTGCAGACCCCACATACACTATTTACTTTGCACTCACGATCTGACACTCAGTGTTCATTCAGCCTTCCATCCTTTCAAGGTTGTTAAGATGAATACCCAGCTCACTGGGGCAGGGGCAATGTGTAGCCTGCATAATTAACTTGTAAACTGCCTAGAGAGTGCTTGAAGTGCTGTGATATGTTATATAAGCAGTACACTTTACTTTTTTACCCCAACACAGCACATGCCAAATTGAGTGAAATAAAAAGTGTCCAGAATCAATTCAAAATAAAAATACCCCAGCTGGGCATTTAAAGAAATGCACTTTCCAATTTAAAACTGTAATTGGATATTTTTAATTTGATTTCAATCGTGCCAAATCCAATGCAAAAATAGAAGTATTCTGACATATAGTTGTGCCCTCAATGAAAGACAACTCAAACAGAAATAAACCAAATCGGCATATTTCACATAATGTAATTATAAGCATAAAGACATCTAACAGAATACTTACTTTGTTGCAGGCAACGCTTACTTGGGGGCCTTATTTGTGGTTTCAGATGATAAGAGTAGCCACATCCACCCTATCAGGTATGTATTAAGTTTGTAAAGACATGGACTAAGTGAAATAATTCCTATGACAAACAGTCTATTGTGAATTATGTTCCACAATGAATCAAAAGTTATGAGACATTGTTTGTCTTTAAGAAGCTATAGGACTGCTTTGTTTGTGCTGCAAAATGTCTTCCCCCCCCACACACACACACCAGGAATTTTTGCAGTGGAAGAAACCAGATGTAGCCATAGAGAATCATAGTCCATCAACTTCGTGAGGCATTTGAAGGCTGCTAAGGTGCCTCAGGTTTTTTGGTTGTTTCTGTCATCAAAATGATAGATAACGGCATGCATAGTTCTGAATGAAATTTTGTTCCTTGGCCCAGTGGTCCCTAACCTTTTCCCAACCACGGACTGGTTGGGGGGGGGCTGGTGCATACGTTGCGCTCACTGGGGGTGCTCACGCACATGTGCTCAACGCAGGGGGATTTGTGTCAGTGGCCCTGTCCTGGATAGGCTGCAGATGCTGCCAGGTCACGGACCGGGAGTTGGGGACCTCTGCCTTAACCAATAAACAATCTCATGAAGTAAACTGAAGTGTTTAATTCCCCAGTTAATGAGGCTTGCCTAATGTTGAATCAAAAGCTGAAAGGATTTTTTTTCTTGAAGCATTTTATTCCAAAGATCTATCTTGATTATAAAACCATCTGTGCAAAATCATACATTGTGTCGTCAGTCTACGTCTTGTACAATATTCTGCATGTAGTACCCATATTCTACAGACCCATCTTCTAATTTTGCTTTAGAAGTTATGTAGTTAAAAATTGGCAGCAGAATATGAAATGATAGCTATTTATTTTAATTAATGCAGCTACTATTTCCTTTTTTGTTGACTTCCCATTTCTTTTCAGTGGGCTTCACTTTTTTAGTTTAGTCCAATGTAAAAAGAATTACAGGAGATAAAAGGCTAAACGAACTTAGCAGAATTGTAATCTGAAGAGAAACGACTAGGATATTAACAAACAAATGCTTTTTTAAAAAATATAAGAGAATAATTGCTCACATTCACCACTGGAATATACGAGCAAGGCTCAGTTTTGGTGTAAAAGCAAGATTTTATAAGGGCAAATGTGTGTGTGTGTGTGTATGCCCAGCTGTGTGTGTGTATACATGCACAACGTCCTGAATCAGCACACTGCCTGCACCATCTTGGCTTTCAGTCTTACTTACAGAACAGATGGAAGTTAAATGGAACTGGTTCAAGGAATCTAGATGATGAATATGTAGTCTTGGCACAAGGTCTGCTTTTGTCACTTTACACCTTTGTTTCATGAGGCTTCCTGCATATTTATGGTATGTCACAAAACCAGCAAAACAGTGAAAATATCTTTGGTTCTGGTATATTGTAGAAAACAAAATAATAGAATATATTTTCCAGCCAAGATTTTGAAGATTTTTCTGAAAAGGCAAGCCTCTCTCTGCATGTTTATAGGTATCAAGGTTGAATACTTTGTTTGGTGTATATAATCACCTTTTGTTTGACTGTGGTAGTACCGTGTTTCCCCAAAAATAAGACAGGGTCTTATATTAATTTTTGCTGAAAAAAATGCATTAGAGCTTATTTTCAGGGGATGTTTTATTTTTTTCATGTACAACAATCTACATTTATTCAAATACAGTCATGTCATCTTCTTCTGGTTGCTGCACAGTGGTGGAGGGCAGAGTTTGAATTAACTGGGGCATCCTGAGAAATCATACTGAGAAATCATACTAGGGCTTATGTTCAGGTTAGGTCTTATTTTTGGGGAAACAGGGTATATGTGTTACACACCTCAGTTGTCAAAAGTAGAACTAAAGTCCAAAGTAAAAAAAAAACAGCTTTGCAACACTAACCTTACCTGGTTCTTATATGAAAGTGTAGCATTCTGAGGGAAACCATACCCATTACTGATGATGGGTATAGTATCTAAGTCTGCAACATTCATAGACATATGTATGTGGATCCATTCCAGTCTGGTTTCAGGCCACGCCACGGTACAGAAATGGCATTGGTCGTTCTGTTTGATGACCTCCTGAGGGGGCCTGGCAAAGTGTCTTTGTTGGTCCTTCTTGATATCTCAGCTGTCTTTGATACTGTCAACCACGGTATCCTCCTGGGGAGGCTCTCCTATCTGGGAATGTGTGGTCTGGTGTTAGCCTGGCTCCGATCCTTCTTGGAGGGACCATCCCCAGAGAGTACAGCTTGGGGACAGTGTATAGGCTCCATGGATTCTCAATTGTGAGGTTTTGCAGGGCTTGATTATCTCCCCAATGCTGTTTAATATCTACATGAGGCTGTTGGGTCAGGTCATTGGAGGTGTGGGGCTTTGTGTCATCAGTATGCTGATGACACCCAGCATACTGATGACACGGTGTGGGGCTTTGTACAACAGTGGATGCCGTTCTGTCCCTTCAGCGCTGTCTGGATGCCATACTGGGATGGATGCAGGCAAACAGTCTGAGGCTGAACCCAAACAAGACAGAGGTCCTGAGGGTGGGTGGCCCAGACATTGGTGGTTTGGGAAACTCCCTCAATTTGGGGGATGTGTGATTCTCACCATGAAGACTGGGGTTGCAGCTTGGGGGTACATCTTGATTCAACACTTACCATGGAAAGCCAGGTAACATCAGTCATCCTCACCACCTACTTCCATTTTTGGTGGATCACCCAGCTGCATCCTTATCTTGATGTCGGGGCCCTCACCACTCTGGTCCATGCGCTTGTAGTCTCGAGATTAGACTACTGTAATGCGCTCTATTTGGGGCTACCTTTGAGATTGATGCGGAAGCTTTAAATGGTGCAGAATGTGGTGGCCAGACTTCTTACTGGGGTGAAAAAACATCAACATATCTCCCCCACTCTGCTGGCTATGAATTGGCAGCCCATTTGTTTTCGTATTGATTTCAAAGTATTAATAATGACATATAAAGCCCTCAGTGGTTTAGGACCTCAATATCTGGCGGAACGCCTTCTCCCACCTAGATCTACTCGCTCTAGCCAGGAGGGGCAGCTGAGGAGCCTAACGCTGAGAGAGGCCCGAAGAGAAAGAACAAGAAAGCAGGCCTTCTTGGCAATGACCCCTTGGTTTGTTTTCGTATTGATTTCAAAGTATTAATAATGACATATAAAGCCCTCAGTGGTTTAGGACCTCAATATCTGGCGGAACGCCTTCTCCCACCTAGATCTACTCGCTCTAGCCAGGAGGGGCAGCTGAGGAGCCTAACGCTGAGAGAGGCCCGAAGAGAAAGAACAAGAAAGCAGGCCTTCTTGGCAATGGCCCCTTGGCTCTGGAACAATCTCCCCCCAGAAGTTTGTCTGGCTCTTTTGCTGGACGTTATTAAGAGCCAACTTAAGACCTGGCTCTTCAGACAGGCCTTCCCTCCTGTCAATATCTAACTTATTTCGCTATCCTCTAGTGCAGAGGTTGTCAACCCGTGGCCTGTGGCCTAGTCCGTGGCCTGAGCTGGACTGGGCTGCAAAGACAGATCTCCCGCCCCCCTCTCGCACACTCCCCTCCCCACAGCTGCTTTGTGTACACATGTGTGTGTCAGCACTGCTCCCCTACCCCTTCACGCATGTGCCTGAGTGCCCGCACGAAGGGGCAGGCACACGGGCGGGCATGCGCATGTGCAAAGGGGTGGGGAGCACTTATGGTGGCACTGGTGTATGTGCACATACTCCACCACCACTTCGTGCATGCGCCTGAGTGCCCCTGCACCTGCATGGGGGGATTTCCCGCCTTCCTCAGAGGCTCAGCCGGTCCACGGTCCCAAAAAGGTTGGGGACCGCTGCTCTAGTGTATTAATATTGTTGTTTTGTTTTATTTTAAACTTAGGTCTTAATGGGTGGGATATAATTTAAATAAATAAATATGTTTCGTTTATTTAGTATGTGACTTCCTTGGTGAAAAAATTGCCTCTGTTTTGGGAATCAGTACACCAAAATACCAATATGCCATAGATGAATATTACAGGATGAAAAAAGAGGTATGTACATTTTGGCATCCATTGAAGAATATACAGGTAGAATTTTTGTTCCACTGAAAAGGATAAGGTATTGATTTGATAGATACTGTGGACTGCTAAAAAGAGAAGTAAATGGATTCTAGATCAAATCAAGCACGAACCCTCACTGAAAGCTAAAAGGAATTAACTGAGGCCATGGACATAAGAGAAGACTCATTGAAAAACACAATAATGCTAGGAAGGGTTGGCTGAAAGAAACATGAAAAGAGAGACATAACATGAGATGAAAGAAAGCCACAGCCTTTCATTTACCAGGTCTGTTGACGATAGGTCCTTTTTTTGGTCTGGTCACCATAAGTAAGAAGCAACTTGACAGCATATAAGAACTAATTCCATAATATGTACCGTAATATTAAAAGATTTGTGGTTTTTTAAGAATCCTATCATAATGCCAGCACATTTTACATAATTAACATATATTTATACTTCTTTATTTTAATTGCCAGAACACTTTCTGTATACTGAATATAAAGCTGGTCTCAATCTCTGTAGGAAGATTGTGACTTTATTCTACATTGCCCATGTATCGTAGGAAATAATTTCCATACTATACCACTTAATGGTAGACAGAAATGATGCTGTGAACAGTTTTACTTGCACTGGGGAAGCTGCTGCAACACCAGTCTTCTAAAGAAAACAGCATTCTAATTTTATTTCTCTTTAGCATATGTTTTCAAAGCGAGAGTTGAGTGTGGGTTGTTGCCCTTTAATTTACCCTTAAACAATGAGAAATGTTTTTGTTGATTTCAGTAGATAAATATTTCAACAAGAAGTTCTTGAAATTGTTGGAATATACAGCATCTTTGCTACTTTGATAGTTTTTATTTCCCACACTATGTAGAAAACATGGGGAAGAAAATTCTGTCATTCCATATCTAATTCCAACCTGCAGAAAATGAGCTTTGTTTGAAATTAATAGTACCATATTGCCGGTGTGCCCTAAGCTTGCCAATTTTATCATTTTTATTTCTGTTAAACTTTTCTTGTTTGATGGACAGTTTTTGCGAATTGTGGTGTCAAGTGGTTGAACGTGTTACATTCTTTGTTAAATAAATATTGTAGCATATTAACTTGCAGAGGGCGTTGATGAATTTATCAAGGAGATCTGCTGACTATAATACACGGTTTCTTTTTCTTCAGGAAGAAGAGGAAGAAGAAGAGAACAAGATGTCAGAGGAGGCAGAAAGGAGGTTTCAAGAGCAGCAGAATCAGATTCAAGAAGGGACTGCTGTTCAAACAGCCCAGCCAGAGGCTACAACCTGTAGTACTTTTGTGAATCTCAATTTTGAAACTGAAGGAGATTGTCGGCCTGCTGTGGAAAGTAAACAAGATATTACTCCAGTGTCTGCTTAGAAAGTGGATGTGGCAGAACACATCCCTATTTCTTACATTGTCAAATGTTTGTAGGTCCCTTTAGGCATGTTTGGTGGAATGTAATTTATTTTGAATTATAGAAGGGGAGAACTATTAGTAACTCTTCGGCCAACATCTGTCTAGTAAAGGCTAAGATGTTTTATTAAATCTGTTTGATTATGAAATGCAAATAACTGGGTCCTAAACTGACCTATCTATGCAGAAGAACTGAAATGTTTTTTCCTAAACATCTTGTGCCTTGTTGACAGTTGTGGACTGATAATTATGCTTTATGGATTAAGGTCTATTTATGTTACTTTTTGAAACTTGGATGGAAGCTTACTTGACTAATTGAAACTAACTCACAAGGTATCTTTGTGACTTAGTTTAATTTACTATCACTGTTGCATGTTTGTATACTTATTTAATTTAAAACATGGCTTTGCTAATTCCTTTTAAATGAAATAATTGTATAAAATCTTGTTTAAAGCTGTCTAGCTAAAGATAGTCATGTTAGTAGGTGACAAAAAGCACATGCTCATTGCTTAGATGCAAGAAATCTAAGTTCATTGAGTTATTTGGCTATAATCTCTGGCTTTATGAAATATCCTGAAGAGGAGTTCCAGTATTCAGAAGGCTTGAAATTTAATTTGTGTACATGGAGTGGTGAAGCTGTGGCTAAAGGAGTCTCTTCTACCCTAGACAGCATAGCTGCTGGTCAGAGATGAGACTACTTGGAGTCAATCAAAAAGTGGGCAATCACAAGTTTCTATCACCACTGTTCTACATTAAAATAGTTTGTACAGAAATGGCAGGCTGATATAACTTGCTGATGGATGTAAATGTTGAGTGAAGTAAACATACATAGTTTCTTCACCTGGTGATACTGAAGTATACTCAATTAGTCATTGATTTCACATACTTACAGCTCATATAGTTCTGAGTTTAAGAAGCAAGCTTGATTAGTGGTAGAATCTGAATTTCAAAATGAATTTGAAAATTGCATATTATGCCAATGGGAAAGTATCTAGAAAAAAATCTACTCTGCAACATGACCAAGGGCTTGTAAGAATCTGCTGTTGGTAGGGTAATTAACTTTTCTGTAGGACAATCCATACCATCACATAACAAATGCAGTGCAAATGTTTGTAGATGTGGGAAAGGATTCAGAGGGCTGTGTGCATGTGGCACAAAGGGATGTATTCAGCCAATCTGCCTCCTTTCACAAGCACTCTGTGGTTACAGTTACATAACTGAATAGTTTAAGATTCATTCCCCCACTCTGTTTTGTGTCCTTTTGGTAAGACTTTACAGAGTTTGCATTAAATACATAGGGCTTAGGAAGAAACTGCACTATAGATCCATATGGTACTGCTGTTTTTACAGGAGAGAAAATATCACTTCACTAGTCAGAAAAACACAAATGCAGAATACATGTAGACTCTTCTGCCGCTGTCCCGATCAGGCATGTGATCAGAAGGAAGAGCTTAAATTTTAGCTATTCGACTCCCTTTCATAATCTGTTGTCTCAGGATGTTAGAAAATCATTAACTAAAGACCATCAGAGTCTTATTTTTTTAATTATGCTGATTTTGGTCATCATTTCTTAATTATGTAAAACCTATGTTCAAATTTCCCTACAAGATGAAAAGCCTACATAACATCACAGTTAATTAAACTTTTGATTTCCCAGGACTGTAATTTCTACTAGCCAAAACTGTTCTTCCTATAAGGATTGGGGAAGGGCTTATTGTTATGAGGTTCTTCTAGTTACTGTGCCTTATATTTAACATTTCTTTCCATATATGCAAATAGTATGAAAGTAGTGGCTTTTTCTTGCAATTACATTAAAATTTTTATATTTAATATAATTTAAAATCATAATTGCGTTCAGAGTTGTTTTTATAGGACTGGTAAAGATTTGCCTTGAATGCAGCAAGTGCAAATGTCATTAGAAATTCCTTGTAGTAATTGGTGGGATTTTAGCAAATTAAAAACATTCACCTTACTAAAGCTGCAGTCATACAAGTTTACTTGGCCATCAAGCTTACTGAAGATAGGATTCATACCTATATAAGTATGCCTAGGACTGCAGTAGATATATGTTTGATTTCTGACAATGTTTTTTTAACCTCAAAAATCATTATTCAAAGTATTTATCTTGACATATTGACATTGTGAACTTTTGGACTTAGAATATTACATTGGAAGAAAAGTTTAAATACACACTGATCTTGAGCATTAATTCCAGCCTTTTCCCACTCTGTTAAGACTACAGCTCCCTATCACCTCCAGCAAACTTGTCCCATGTTGACTGGGAATAATCTGGGCTGTACTGTAACATCTGGAGAGCATTTGGAAAGACTGATTTACGCTAAGGGTTGCTTGTTCTACTAGGCTTATGTTGATGTTGTGAGTTCTGGCTTTGGCAGGGTATTTTGCTGTGGTCCATCTGATGTTCATGGCAATTTTGTTTTAGAATTAAGCTGTACCTTGGAATTTTAATGGTAATTAAGTCTGATAATGGTATTTTATCAGATCTGAAACTGCTTCTTGCGCATGAAAATCAAGCCTTTGTATTTAACTGTCATAATTTAATAGTTCAAAACTAGAGCATTGTTCAAGACCAGTGTCCAATAGGTAAAACTGATCTAAACTGGAAGGTGGCTTGCTGCTGCAGGTTCAGAAATGATCTGAATAAACTTAAACTTACCAGCGAGTCTTCAGCTATTTAATGAAATATTTTCACAGTACAGCTTAATTTTTTTTAATTGCAGAAAAGATTCAGTCTCACAATCTTTGTACAAAGCTTCGGTTTTATCCATCTGGGGCTACATGGAAGCTTCATTGATTTTGGTAATGAATATCTTGTTCAGCTTCATATGGTTACTGTATCAGTTGGGCATATCTCCATGGATACAGTCTATTTCTGTTAAGTCACGTGTCCTCAAGATCTGTTGTGCTATCATTATCACTGGCTACAAGAACCTCTCTGTTCTCATAGGTCCAGAAGCCATTAAGATCAATTAAAATGCTAACGACTGTGTCTCCTTGGCTACTGTTGATTAAGTCCTGAAGAGAAATTTTGTAGGGATCCTTTGGCTTCACCATATCAAAGATTTCATCCTAAAAGAAAGAAAGAAAAAGTTAACACAACGTTTTTTACATGAAAACAAACAACAGAATATGAATATTTTAGACACACTGAGTATTAGTAAATTTCACTTCATGATGCTTCCTTGTTCAGTTAAAGCAGAAAATCCTTGCTGAAACAAAATTTAAAAACTTAATGGTAGACAGGCTGAAATATTGTTGCTTAATGTAACATGTTACAACTAGAGCAGGCCCACTGAATCAATGAACTTTACAGAGGAAGTGACTTGCCAGATCCCCACTGATTCAGTGGGGCTATTCTAGTGCAATTTTCTAAGCTAAGTACTGTAGTATGATTTCAGCCACAGACTGCAAATACACCTCCTGTCCATATAGGTACACTGTTATAAATCTCTTCACTCCTGTACTTTTGAAAAGTACACGAGTAAACTATTAAAGGATGGTAATGAGACCCATGTTTTTTAAGGAATCAGAATACTGTAATACATTTTGGAGTGGGTTTCAGTGTATTTGGATGAGACCATACAGTTCCCCTGCCATTTGCAACAAAAAGTTAGCTTCATTGGTGAATTAATGTTTCCTGTGGTTAAGGTAAAGAAACAGTTATTCAAGATATTTAACAACTGTTCAATGGTAACAGTGTAGAAGTGGATGCAATGCAACCATCAAATACAGTCTGTTTTCAACTACTCCACATGGCAACTATTTCAAGGTGACAAGTCATTTATTTGGAAAAAAAATTATATACTGTGATGAAATGCTGCTATCCCTTATTTAAAATTATTTTAGGACATTTGAAAGATAAAATCCTCTAAAGACAGCAAGTTCTACTGACATTTATTCTAAATTTGTTGAACATGAAGTACGTGCAAACATCAGTCTTATTCAATCTCAAAAGATTTATTGGTAGCGAAAGACGACTTTCTTTTCAAGCCAAGATCTAATATAACTAATCAAGGTGGTAGGTCTATCCAAATTTGTGCCCATTTACAGTGAGTTGGATCCAAGCTAACCGGTTCTACTGAGACTGTACTCAAACAGAATATTATAACTTTAAATTTTAAAGTATAGAGATAGGGATTAAAAGTATATTGAACTCACTATCATTAAGGCAACAGTTTAAGTACTTTCATTTAGTGAAACAAAAGCACCATTAGGAAAACGATTTCTCCAGATCCATAGCTATGTACAGTATATAATATTTTTAAGAGTGTGCCTAATAATTATTCTGTCTACTAACCATCAGATATGCCAATCTCATATGGTCATTAGGTATATGTATTTTATTAAAAGAATCTAACCTTGACATCTTGAAAAGAAACTGTCTCTTGTCCATGGATTTTCATTTGCTCTTGAATAGCCTACAACAATGACAGACCAGGGAGATACTTAAATACATTTTAAAAAGAACTTTTTTCAAATGAATGAATTATGCTCATGATAAAACAATGCTAATTTTAATTAGGTCACGTAGAGTCGGACACGACTAAATGACTAAACAACAACAACAATTTTAATTATCATCATTAGCCCAAATAGAAAGATGCATACGTGGCAAACCGTGGTCACTGCATTAGCTGGTTAATAGGTACATTCCACTCTGGCAGAAACAGAGAACACAACTTTATACTTAGTTGTGGATGTAATCTAGCACTGTCTAATCTGGTGGGCAGCAGCATTCCAGGGACTCAGATACAGGTCTCATCCAATGCCTCCCACTCAAGATCTGTTCACTGGAGATGCTGCATATTGACGGAGGTCTTAAACCTTCAATTCATAATTATGTGGAGTGACCATCCCTTCCTCCCCTTTATCTAAAGTGCTTAGTGACATGCACCCAATCTCATCCTTTGT